AGATCAGCTTATGAAGAAGCCAGGCCTAAACTTGATTCCACATTTAAGCATCTGTGGCATCCCCAGCAAGAACATAAGGTAAAGTTACTTTTGTGGAAAATTCTTAAAGGTCTTATGCCTATATCTGACCAGCTCAGAAGATTTAAGCTAGTTCTAGAGCCCTCTATGTGTGTTATGTGTAGGAACCACTCTGATAGTCTTCATCATCTCTTCTATCAATGTTGTATTGTGAAACCGGTTTGGCATTATTTCATGAAGATTTTTGGGATTTTTATTCCTCACACTGATAACATTGGCCAGGTTTTTAGAAATTGGTGGCTGAAAGCAGGAACCATTTGAGTGATGGATATTTTTAAACATAATTTACCTGGAATTATTTGCTGGCAGGTATGGAAAACTTATACTAACCTGGTTTGGGGGAATCAATCAGGCATTATAGTTCCTTCTCCAAACAGTCTTATTACTCAAATTAAGGCTTATACTCAGAATTGGGCTTGGTCTTTTCCCAAATTAAAAAACAATTCTGTGTGCAGTGTCTTGAAGGAAGAACAACGTGTCACGCATAATTTTCAGGCAAGAGGTAATTGAATACAGATAATAAGGTGGATAAAGCCGAACAACTATTACAAAATGAATGTAGATGCGGGATTCTCACCCGGTGAAGCTTCAGGGGGAGCAATCATTCGGAACTCAACGGGGGAGATGATCTGGGCTAGTAGTTTCCCGCTTATAGCTTCGTCTTCGATAGAAGCGGAGTTCAAGGCACTAGTAGAGGCGATTCGCAGAGCTGAGGAAGATGGGTTAGATGGATTTCAGGTTGAATCCGATTCGACTCTAGCTTTGGCTATGATAAAAGATAGAGAGGTTCGGTGTTGGTCAGATATTATTCAGGAAATCAGGCTGAATGCAAATAGGAAAGGCCTGCGGTTTGGGCATGTCTTCAGGAAAGGAAACTGGACGGCACATTTCTTGGCTATCGATCATGTGGGCCCATTTAAAAAATATGATAGCCCATCTTTGCTTCCGATTCGGGCCAGAAAGGCTTTTTATATGGATAAATTTGGCATCCCTTCTCTTAGATGGTAGTTTCAGGCTTTTTCAATTGGGTCAGATATAGCCCCCCCAATTGCTGTTATTTTTTGTGTAGTTTTGGTGTAATTTTGGGAGGTATGCCTCCCCGGAAAGGTTCTGATCTAGTCCCCCTTTCCTATGTATCCACCCCTCTATCAATAAAATAATGGCATCTGACTACCGGCATATGCCCCACTGATTTTGGTGGTTTGCCTTCCGGGATAAAAAAAAGTGTGATTTGCACCGGGCTTCCTAGCTCATCAAGATATAATCCAGTATGTGTGCAATAATAACCGGTATACCAATTGTTTTAATTTATTACTCCCTATTTATCTTCATACTTTCCTTTTTAGTCCGTCTCAAAATTATCTCTTCTTTCCCTTTTTGAAAAAACATTTGTGGTTCACAACATTTCTTATACATTCTTACACATTTCTCTCTTCTCTCAACAACCCTCCATCACACAATACCCACCATTCATCAATACTGCTTCCGCGGTTAAAAATATATCGTGACGGGATATGTTCCTATCATTAATGCATAAATAATGAAAGTGCAATTACCATCATAAAAAATGACAAGTTATGACATCAAATCCTGTCATTAATACATCTAATAACTAACTAGTTTGTTATTTTTATGACAAAAAATATTGTCATATTACACCTATTTAATTACAAAAAAATCTCTTATTACTATTATAAATAAACTCACATGTCATTGAATGGTATGCTTTAGTGATAGAAAATCATATCATTATATAAAATTATTTTCATTGTCAAAAGCGACACTTTAATTTCTATGATAAATACCCCCACATATATAGCACGTTATCATGTATTTCTTCAAGTATTGATAAAGTTTATTATCACTTAAAGTCTATATACACACACATACACACACACACATTATATAATTACGTCCAACTAATAACATTACATTTTGAAGTAGCAAAAAAGATATTCACAAAGACTAACGAGTACAAAATAAATGTTGGCTAATTGTAAAAGAAAAACGAGCACACTTAGTTAAGTGGAAAACCAAAAGTACAAAATCAATAGTCATGACATATTGCTAGAAGACTAATAAATTGCTTTCCATAAAACCTCCCAACTTCAAAACTGCAACTGGTACCTATTCACAATGGACAAAGAATACTTAGTTTGATATAATCACGACTCTTAAAAAGAAGGTAAAAAGACTCCAATAGGAGTAAAACATGGGCTTTGTATGCGTATAAGAGCTCCTACTTTTTTAACCCTAAATAAGAGTTATTTGCACCTGAACGGACGAAAATAACCCCAAGCCCCTAGCTCCAACTATGCGATCCACCGACTACGCAAAACACGACCTTCAGCCGTCTCCAGCCAATTCCAATCCCTGGCGAAGCTTGGATAATCTTCTACATCAATTTCAAAGACTCATTCGTCGAAATTAATATCAAAGAGTCATTCATCGAAGCTCAGATTACATTGGTGAAAATCAAAGACTCATTCCTCGAAATCAATATCAGGCGACAATGTCATTCAAACCAATTCCCAACGATTTCAGACGAAATTCCGATCAATTTAGTTTCTTTCAACATATATATCTTCTGCGCAAAACATTAGAAAACTGTGGATGCCAGATTTCAGATGAAATTGCGACCAAATCCCTATGCTATTTGGTTTGTATCTGTATTTATATTTATAAGTATAATTGTTGTTTATTGTTCAATGCAATTGTTGTTTATTGTATCTGTATTAACATTTATATGTATTATTTGTATATTACAAGACCAATGGCAAACAACGTCATTATGATACATACAACAAACAATGCTAGACAAAACCTTACAAATATCATTATGTCAAAACCAATGGCAAAGATCTTATCTGTATTTACAATGTCATATTTTTTTTATAAACGTGCAATGCCATTTGTAAAATACAACAAAGAATGTTAGACAGAACCTTACAAATGTCATTATGTCAAAACCAATGGTAAAGATCTTATTTGTATTTACAATGTCATATTTTTTTATAAACGTGCAATGCCATTTGTAAAATACAACAAAGAATGTTAGACAGAACCTTACAAATGTCATTATGTCAAAACCAATGGCAACGATCTGTATTTACAATGTCATTTTTTTTATAAACGTGCAATGCCATTTGTAAAATACAACAAACAATGTTAGACAGAACCTTACAAATGTCATTGTGTCAAAACCAATGGCAAACATCTTGTCATATATTTTTTTTTATAAACGTGCAATGCCATTTGGAATATACAACAAACAATGTTAGACAGAACCTTACAAATGTCATTATGTCAAAACCAATGGCAAACATCATATATGTATTTACAATGTCATATTTTTTTTTTATAAATGTGCAATGCCATTTGTAAAATACAACAACATACAGAACCTTCCAAATGTCATTATGTCAAAACCAATGGCAAACATCTTAGCTGTATTTACAATGTAAAAATCAATGGCAAATATAATTTAATTACAACCAAAGTAATTTGGAAGCAGGTTACAATGTCATATAAATGTAACAAATACTAATTTGGATACTAAAAAAGAAAGAGAAATTATCAACTCATTAAAAGTAAAGTTTTTAGTTAGAGGACTTTTCCCCTCACAAATGATGTACAAAAGGTGCTATTTATGAGAGGATATTTATACGGTCATTAATTTTTGTAGCTAAAAAGTGTTTTTCTTGTAGTGCACTATCTTAATATGTGTGTCAATTGTACTTCAGAAAATAAATATGGGACGGAGGGAGTAGTATGTATTAATTGAGTAGTTGATTACTGTAACTGTAGTATAGTTGTCGAGGTTATTCTTTCAACCCGAGGGTCCAACACGTTTTCATAAGGTTTCGAGTGGAGAATTTAGTGAATATGATATGTAAGCAAGTAGATGGGTCAAGATTTAGTAGCAAGTGAGCCGTATCTTATTAAATGATAATAAGGGTCCGTTACAACACACTCGCGCTACAAAGCCCTGAGGATGTTCGTCTAGTTCAGTAAAGAAGAGCTAGATAATTGCTAGTTGCTAAGGATAATAAGTTGACAACCCTTTACAATGAAATAAATGTTACTATGTATACTACAAAGGAGTAGGTAGAGCCGCTGACGTGGAAGGCTGTTGATGGCTAGCTTCCCAACTACCAAATCTACTGCATTAAATGCGCTTCCCGGCTTCCCGCTAATATCTTGGTTCCCGCCATTGGAATTGGTCGAGCGTCCCCTTGATCCCAGGTCGTGGGTTCTGGCGGAGCAAGGGCCAGGCTCTGTGTGTCTTATGCAAGTCAGTAGGCCAAGGGACCTAGATTGTCATCTGGCACTTGTTGGGCTAAGGATGTTTTTACTTGGACTGTAATTTGTCCCAGACCAGACCAGATCATACCAGACTAGACCAGACTCCGATAGTTATAAAAAATACAAATAAACCAGACCAAACCAAACCAAATGAAGAGACGAACGTCATGTGACGCCTTAGTCCACCATGGTTACCTGCCCCTTATGGGCTGTGTACTTTGAGGCCGAGCGTCATGGGCCTTGATGATATTCGTGCTAAGGGGGTAATGGTCGATCCGCTATCGGACTTATTAAGCCAATAATAGTAATTACTACACAATTTCAATGTTCACAAACTTAATTAGCATAGCACACACATACTCCCACCGTCACATAAAGAAGTTCCCATTTCGGTTTATGATGTTTGACCGTTAATAAATTATCCCTATTTATACTTAGATTATTTTTAGAAAATCAAATTAAATGAAAAAAAATTACAAAGCGTCATCAAAAAAGTTTAAGTTTAATACATAAAACAAAAGATTAAAACATTTAAGAGTGATTTCAACTGATCATGTAAATAAATAGTGAATGAGAACTTCATTTTGAAATGAAGGAAGTATATCATTATAATGACTTCAATAAAGTCGTTGTAAGCAATGCAAAAATGCAAGATACCGCCGTGTAATGTACAGATGTCTTGCTGCACAGCCAAGGACCATATCTTGTTCATACTTATCAATAAGAGGCTGATTCGGGCCAACCCGACCCAATTTGCAATCTAAATTTGGAGCACACTTCTTCGCCTATCTTTCTACCAGGTCATCTGTCTCAATTCCGGCAATCTCTGGGAAGAGACAGCTTATCCGCATCTGAAAAATGGCTCTTCTAGTTAGAAACGCCCGCCAGTTAGCCCCGGCGGCGCCTTTTCTACAACGGGCAGCAATGATCCACACCACTCTTCCGGTCTTCTCGCCGCAACCGTCGTCCACACCGACGACATACACACGCCCTCCCCCTCCGTCGACTTCCTCCCCGACGGGCCTTTCCAAGACGGCCGAGTACGTCATCTCGAAAGTTGACGATCTGATGAATTGGGCGCGCCGCGGATCCATCTGGCCCATGACCTTCGGCCTCGCTTGCTGCGCCGTAGAGATGATGCACACCGGAGCTGCGCGCTATGACCTCGATAGATTCGGCATAATTTTTCGGCCCAGTCCGCGGCAGTCCGATTGCATGATCGTTGCCGGAACCCTCACCAACAAGATGGCCCCTGCTCTTCGCAAGTGCGTTTTCAAATACATATTTCTTCTCTGTTATTTCCTAAGAATATAAACCCAAATATGCATATTAACTGCTTCTGTATTTTAATGGCTGACTGGCTGCGTAATGTGAATTTACTGCACATAATTTCTAATGCATTGCATATTGGGGTCTCGTGAATTTTTGTGTGTAGTGGCTTGTGAGATTTAGAACTTCAATTATGATTCCCTGAAGGAGCTGACCGATAAAGGATTATCTTAAAACTTCAATTTTAGTATATTTGAGTCAAAGGTTAGGTTAGGGGCATAAGTGAGCTCATGGTTATATACTTTAGAGGTAAAAGTGCTCCTAAAAATGATTAGATCTTAGGAGTATGTGTTACCTTTCATAATTCATGTCAATTCAAGGCATTTCGTGCCCTAATCCGTTCTGTATATATATACACTCAAGGACTAGAAGTGAGAACTACCTCTCTATTCCCGTAGCATATCTAGATTTAGTATGCAACATTCTCTATCTTACCATGTAGTCGTAGCAAGGTTGGCATGGAGGGTAGGTAAAGCACATTGCCAGCTAACCAGCATAGGCAACAGGTAATATTTGAACATAATATATCATGAAATATATACATATTAATTACAAAATAATCATAATAGTTCAGAACAAGAGTTTAATAACCATTTCTAAATGCATATTGAACTACTACAAACCATGGTTGAGAAATTTTCAAAAAATAGATCATTCATAGGCTCATAGGCCTCATAGCCTTTTGTGATGGATCTTTCGAAGGTTACTGATGCTATTAAGTTGACGGCCATGTTAATATCAAAAAACGAGTATTCAATGTAATTTGTACTTTATGTCATTATTCCTCTCTGTAGCTGGTTTGAAGAAATAGGTTTACATTGGCCAAACGCATCCCAACTGTTTATCTATAATTTTCATTTCACGTGGTACAGGCCTACAGGGTAAAGTCTAAATTCCCTTTGCCACAACAAATGGATCCATATCTGTTCTACATAAATCAATATTGATTCATTTACATCTAGGCAATGTTTTAATCCCCGAAAAATTGAGGGTAAGGAAAGACAAGTTTAAAAATGCCATGGCAAGTTATATCCTTGTTTGGTTTTACTGCTCAATGTACACTGGAAAAGGAAGTTTGATCACTTGATGTAGGTTTTCATTTTTTCTACATGTGTTAGATTCCTTAGTATTTCTATAGTAGAAAGTAGAAACACATTATGAATTGAATAGATAATAACAATAATTTAGGGGGTGTTTGGATGTACTTCTTAAAATTGCTTCTACTCCGTTAGGGAGTAGAATTGGAGTGTTTGGATAAAAGTGCAAAAGTACTTCTAAGTGCTCCAAATTGTTCTTAGAAGCAGTTTTTTAGAAGTAGAGTAAATTCCGAACACCCCCTTATTGACTTTGTTGTCTGAGCCAATACTTTATACGTAGTATAAAGTATTTTATAATAACAAAATATAATGCAAGAATAATACAAACTTTAGAAGTAACTTTTAATCATATCAATTATTTGAATATATATCCAAAGTGATATATAGAATTTTTCACTAAAAATTCAGTTATTTAGCTCATTGAAAAGTAATATCAAAATATCAAATAAGTGACCGTATTTCCAAATATCAATTATTTGATAATAGGATGTGCCTCAGAAAAGGCACATGGATACGCATTAGGCATACGCCTCAAATACCATTGTACAAGTTTCTGTATTACTTAAATTGGGATACGCCTCCCATTGTAAATAGGCAAAGAATCTCAAGGAGGGGGTACATGATTTTTGCTACGGAGATATTTGTTTGAAAAATTATAAACATTTTAAAATCACTAAAATTAATTTTACCCCTCACTTTTTACTTCGCTCAAAAATGTGCACTGTTGAAGGAGGACCCTTTATATGGGATGGATGGAGTACATTGTTTTAGGAAGGAGATATCCATGGTCCAATACAAAACACTAATTAATATCTGTAGCTTAGTAAACCGTCCTCTTCTGTCCCGAGATGCCCAAACTAAACAACACCTAATAGATAAATTTAGTTGTGGTGTGTGTGCTTGAAGATTGTTATTGTTATTTTATGATATTTGTTATGAGTCTTACTCAGAGTTCTAAAGTTTAATTTACTACTGAAAATGTAAAGGTATGATACTTGTTTTTGACCTATAAGCGACCAAAACTTTGGTATCGGATCAGCATTGCACACCTTTTTTTTTGCATTTTTTCTTACCATTACTTTTGAGAAAAGTAATATATCGGTGCCAATTCTTTTATTTGTATCTACTTGTTACCAAGAATTTAATGAAGTATATCTATATTTAGGAAGTCATTATAATATACAAGCATACAACGACAATGACAACAACAAATGACATCATTACCCTAGTGTTGCAAAGGTTCCCCACCTATAGTGAGGGTACAGGGGGTCGGATGTACGCAGCCTTACCCCAGTACTAAAGCACAAACACTGTTTACAAATGACTCATGATGAAAAATGCGTCGAAAATTGTATGTACCGATGGCCGCTTCATAACAAAGAAGCGCAAACAGATTAATGTCCCATTTTACTTTATCCCATCATATTCTCAACCTAAAAAATAGTGAGTCTTTGACACCATTGGAAGTCGTTATTATATGTAACACATATTTTCATATGCTTATCAAAATAATGAATTTTGTGTAGATATTTCCCATATACTCCCTCTGTCCCACTATGATTGTCCCATTTTACCATTTCAATCCGTCCATGGTAGTCAAAATCGCGAGTTTACTCGTAGAATCGTACGATTGTACGATCTGAATATAAACCTCCGATCACGTTCCCACTGAGAATCGTAAAAAAGCCAGGATTGGATGAATCGCCGAGTAAACTCGTAGAAGCGTAGAAGAGTACAGGAAGGGCGATTCTTCTCTGCGACTCAATTCTTCCAGCGCCAAGTGTATGGCGACTTCATTCTCAGGTGTGGCTGGTCTTCCGACTTCCATCTCTGCGTCGAAGACTTAAAGATCGACTTCCAGAGTCCGATTTCCTCGGCACTCTGTTTTTTTCACTTTTGTTCGTTCTTTATAAAGCCTGTAACTTCCGTGGATAATACGTAGTATTACATTTATACTTTCATTTATGTTTTTTTTTTTACTTTAATTTATCTATTAGCATTTAATTTTTTCTTTGTCACCAAGTAATTACACATCATATGGTTTTATTAGAAAAAATTACTGCAAATTATTATTATCATTATTATTCTTATTATTATTGTTGTTATTGTTGTTGTTGTTGTTAGGTGTTACATAATATAATATAATATAATATAATATAACTTATTGTTGTTTTTTATTAAGTAAAAGAAAATTAGCTTGTTTATTTTTTTATTACATTTTATTACATTTTATGTTCAATTGATTACTGAATTATTTACTTATATTATTAATAATAAAATGACATCTCTTTGAACATTTTCTTTACATTTTAATGGAGGAGAAGAAGATTCTTTGGAAGATTATAATTTAAACTTAGATGATTACAATTTAGATATTTAATTATGTAGTTAGGATTTAGAACCGTATTTTTGTAAGTCTTAAATACCTAAAATATTTGATATTATGTTCTAAACAACTTACTTAGGTTATTATTTACGTATCAATTATATTAGTATTTACATTCTAACTATATTATACACACACATATCTATATATATTATATTTGTATATACAAGTATAAATATATTTTGTAGGATCTTACGATCCGAGTCATGATCCTACGATTTACGATCCTTGTTCCAGTTTCCGATTCTACGTAGGATCTCGAGTTTGACTACCTTGGGTCCGTCCCACTAAGATGGTCTCATACCTTATTTGGTAAAATTTGTGTGGTTCTAAAGCATTCCTACTTTATCTTACTTTATCAATTTAATATCAACCACATAAACTCACTTTTATTAATAACCATGTCACCTTCTCTTGTCCCAAACTTAGGGGGCGGAGGTAGTATTATACTACTTCCGTCCCAATAAATTTTTCCAAGTCAAACTTGGCTCGCAAATTTAGAAAGTGGGAATAAAGTGGAAATATATGGTTGTAGTTGTGTAAGAAAAAGGTGAATGAATGTGAACCACATATTTTTTGCAAAAGTGGAAGTTGGAAGAATATTTTGGGACGGCCCAAAAAGGAAAGTTCGAAGAATTCAATGGGCGGAGGGAGTATATATGTGGAAAGATAGAGAGAAGTTTTCAGAGTACCCAGATATTTTGAAATATTATAATTCAAACCACAACTGTGGCTTTAGATGTTTTCTAAAACTTGTAAATATCCTGAAAAACACGAAAAACATTGTTCACTGCCTTTATGCTTCTGTACCATTAATTTTCAAAAATTTTGCTGGATATAGTTCTCTATCTCTGTAGGTATTTTAAAGATCTCAAACACAGAATTCAAACAAAATAAGACAGGATGACTTTCATTAGCATATTGTACATTTCACTCCCAATTCCTAGCACCAGACATAGCTTACACATTTTCTTCCTTTAGGGTGTATGATCAAATGCCGGAACCAAGGTGGGTGATATCAATGGGAAGCTGTGCAAATGGAGGAGGCTACTATCATTATTCATATTCAGTTGTGAGAGGGTGTGATAGGATTGTCCCCGTTGACATCTATGTTCCGGGCTGTCCCCCCACTGCAGAGGCGCTTCTCTATGGACTTCTCCAGCTGCAGAAGAAAATCAACCGCCGCAAAGACTTCCTTCTTTGGTGGACAAAATGAGGAAGAACGAGGGAAAACAAATCTTTGTCTGCATGTTTATGGAAAAATAAATTGTACGGAGTATTACATGACGTTTCCCTTGTCTGAGGCAAAAGTTTCACATTATAAGCTTTGTGGAAGCTTTTTGTTAGACTGTTGATTGATGATGTACTATTATTGTTATCTGCATATGTTTCTCATGGTTGTTAAGAACTTTGATACCCCGTTATATTGAAAGATATGTACTTATGATGTTACTACTTGATTGATTGATCTCTATAATATTGTTATTGTGTTACTACTTGATTGATTGATCTCTATAATATTTGACTTGTTTTGTTATAATAACAGTCGCGGCATTTGTATTTACATATTTAGTTTGTCTTCTACCTAGCGGTTTAATGAATACCTTCAGTGCAGGGGTTATTACGTGATATATACTTCGTATTTTACTATAAACCAAAATTACTCATTCAGAGCTTTACTCAATTGCTCCTATTACTCAAAATCACGATGTTATATTCCTATTTTTTAGGGAAACATGTGATATGTGCTTTTTTGCTCCAATTTTGACCAAGTTCTTTGCTGCTAGGCTGCTGATATAATGTCAATATTGAATCTACAAAACGAAAAATATAGGAACCCCAAAAATATGTTGTCCAGTTTCTAAAATCCGATTCTATTTTTATATTTTCAAATTTTAAGAACACTAAGCTCACAACCACTCGAGGCTTTAGGTACGCATAAACTCTTGATGAACAGAAAATTATCCATCTTAATTGAATGCCATAGCGGAAGATTTGAGTTCAATCGCAAAATTTTAACACAATAGGAGTAACATAAGGTGTTATCCATTTAGATAATTAGTTATTTTCACTTTTGTAGGTTGAAACAAACGACTTGGGATTTTTTCATAGGACTGAAACTTTCTATTACGGAGTAGAACTCTATTTTATGCATATTTTTCTATGCCCGGTCTCGTATAGTTTATCTGATCAATTAGATGTTATCTAATTTGTTTTGAAATTGAAATACGTTCATTTAAAACTTCCTTTCTCTATTCCAAGTGTCAAAAGATAATATTGAACGTCGTTACATTTTAAGAAGTGATGTGCAAAGAATAACATTATACCATTAACATGTTTAATTTAATAATTATTTTAGTATTAAGGATGTTTTTACTTGTATTAATTTCAAACTTAGATCAAATAAGACTTAAACATATTAAGAGCATCCCCAATGCATGGTAGTCTAGTCTAAATAAAATATGACACATGTCAAATAAATGCAAGGCTTTTTTCTAATACACATAATACAAAGTGGAGTGATTAGACTTTGAACTATGAAAGAAGGCTCCAATGCTTACTTTTAGGGCGGAACTTAAACACCCAATTGAGATTAAATTAAGAGTAAATTAGATGAATTATTACTTTTAATTTTGTTTGAAATAGCAGCTCCCTACAAAGTAAATCAGTTAACTCCATTTTATTGCTCACCGTAAACAAAGTCTTACTCACATCCGTAAAAGGTTTGAAGCAACGAAGGCCCAAGGGATAATCGTGCACTTCATAGGGTAATTGTTACTGGCAGTTACGAGAAGAAAATCGTATGTTTATTTATTAATTATATGTGTATGTGTGTGTGTGTGTATAGGATGTACGAAGGTAGTTTCTCAAGTCTCGATCCACCGTAAACCGACAGAAACTGCCGTGGCATGGGGTGTTTGTTTCCCATGTAAAAACGAAACTCCGATAACTGCTTGAATTACCACCGGAGTAATTAATCATCTGTGGGAGGATTGAAGACGAAGAAATTTTTTATCTCTGCTGTCCATAGAGCTCACCATGTCATGATTTAATTTGGAGAAATAAATTCGAATGCTTTTTGCCTCTTTATAGACCCATAGTTTTTCGTAAAAGCTTTGTCTTAAATGATTTGTCTAGTCAACAAGTTTATCGTAATATCCACACTCGGAAATTTTCCTTTCACACCGTCTAATCATTTTTTTTGCAACTCAGCAAAAGCAAATGAAGACTACATGCGTTGGAGCGGGTAAAAGTCTAATGCATTGAGGTGGCGTATTTTTTCTTAGACTAGACATTCCGCATTGCGGATGCTCTAAGAATGTTTTTTACTTGGACTGTAATTTCTTCGTCTGGTCTTTTCTGTCCTGTTATGAGCTGGTAAACATCTGGTGTCTATGTATTTTTTAACTACGAAAGTCAAATCTGGTCTGATGTGGTTTGTTTAAGTCTGGCCTGGTCTGAGACTGAAAACTATTCAATAAAAAACATCCTAAACTAGACCTAAATAGACCACACCAGATCAGACTTATATAATTCAGACAAGATTTAAATAGATCAAATCTAGATAGAGTAAAACATTCAATTTAAATAAAAACATAACATGTTAGTTACTATCAATCCACCAAGATGAGCGGCCATCCACTCATTTGTATGTGTACTTTAAAGTCACAAGCCTCAAGTTTCTGAAGTGTCGATATCTCTTTATCTCTGATCGAATGGAGGCTTGCTTACATAGTCCGACATTGATCTGTGAACGATAAAAGCCCATATTTCATTTCCAAGCCCAACTTATATCTAGCCCTAGAGATCTCAGCACTATATATACAATTTAGTTCTTCTATCCAGAAATCACGGATTTTCAATCTTTCTCTTCCTTTCTGGGTTCAAATTATCTAATTTCATAAGATCATCGTGTAATATTCATCGATCTGGTTTGGCTCCATACAGAGTCAGCAGCAGACGTCGGTCAATGGCGGATCCGACTGCCGCATGGAGCCTATACTTACCATCCGGCTGAAGATCCATGTTTCATCCGATTGAATCATGACACAATTTTCCGGATATATTTCTTCATTCATTCTTATTACGGGATTATTATTTATCGCTGAATTTGGCTGCTTAATTTAATATATTTTGCATATGATCAAATTTATTTCCAGATTTTTTTTCGAATGAGGCACTTAAGTCAGACATCGGGGGTTTGTTTTAGTTTCGATATTGCAATCCACCTTTTGCGCTGTGCCAATACATCGCTACTAATCACGATTGGAGGAAATTGTCATGTTAATCCATTTTCCTTCAAATTTATCGTAGCTAAATCAAATTTCTATAAGTATCATGTTTAGAATAAACAAATGTTTTCAATATTTTCTGAAACCTGCGTTGGGGTAGATTGCCGTGATGAGTTGTTAACATGTAAGAAGTTCAAACTATGTGTTTGCATCTTCAATGAAATTCTCTTGTTACGCTTGGCTTCTGAGCACATCTATCTCACCAATTTCAATTATAAACTTAATACTAAATATTAATAGAAGTGAGTTATGATTCTGCATTCCATATTTTGTTGGATACTAGAAATTACATTCCATTTTTAATATTATTAACATCTTTATCTAATCATCTCAAAACATTTACAACTCAATGTTTGACATTACTGATTCTCAAATGTGGGCGGTGTTTGAATGATTAGAATAATAAAAATATTTTTCAAATTTGGTATGAAGTACTCGGTAATTTTTAATGAGATGTAGGGATTATGAAAGATGATTAATTAAAGAATACTATTGTCTTTTCTAATTACCGATATACGGAGTATCAATTGAAACCAAATCGGCGAAAATGGCAAACTCTGTAAATGGTAAGCGTTCTCTAGGAATATGAAATTGCAACTTCTCAAAAGGGATAGGAATGAAATGTTTTTTAGGATTGGGCATGAAAAGTCGGTAGAACTGATTTAATTGGTTTGGTTCACCATTCACAATAGACATTGATATTTCTTAATGGTTTTTTTTCGAATGTGTTATTAAATTTAATTCATTTGTATAAAAATTACTAATAGTTATTAGAATATAGTGCTAGTATAATTTAAATTTAATTTATTATTATTATAATTTCATTGTTATTTTAATTAATAGTCACATTTTTGCAAATAATTTTCATTTTAAATGTAAAATGCAATTAATTTTTAATTGAAGTGATGCAATAAGATGACACTAAATTAAATGAAAGAAATTAAAGTAGTGAAATTATTGAATAGTGAAAGAAAATATAAATTATTGAGGGTATCATAGGAAGATAATAAAGTAGTATAATAGAATAAATGATAAATTAAAAAAAAAACAGGTGTAATAATGTATTATTTTTAAAATTATTGAGAGTATGATGAGAAGTTTTAAAAAAAAGAAGGTTAATTAGTTACGGCTAAAAAAGGGAAGTGAGAAAATGTTTATGTTACGTAGGTAGTAATACTCATGATGATTTTACTTGGATAGTAATTTGTTGATTGGGAAATTATCACCTAGACTACTGCACTATTAAAAATAAGCTAAAGGGTCAAATAGGTACATGAACTAATTTAAAATGTTCAATTAGCCCCTTATTTAGAAGGTTATGTCTGGTCGTCGCCAATTGGGGCGGTTCTCGGTGGAATTTTTTTATGAAATTTTTTGAGCAACTTCTTCATTAAGTCTAGTTTACTCATACCAAATTTCAACCAAAAATTCAATCGGGAAGGCAGTCAAATGATTTTTTGAAGATAACTTGAGTTAAACAGCGCAGTACATTTTGGAAAATCAATTGACTGTCTTCCCGATTTAATTTTTAGCTGAAATTTGATATGGGTAAATTATACTTAATGAAGAAGATGCTCAAAAAATTTCCCAAAAAAATTCAACTGGGAACCGCCCCAATTGGTGACGGTCGGGCAGAACCTCCTATATAAGGGGCTAATTGAACATTTTAAGTTAGTTCATGTATCTATTTGACCCTTTAGCCTTAAAAATATACACTTACCCTCTCTGTATCTTTTAATGAAAGTTTAATAACTCTTAATTACGTTTAGAAATAGTATAAATTTAATTTTATTTCACTTGCATATTTAATTAACCTGATAATTAATAAATTTACTTGTATTCAAAATCTTTCCACCCGAAAGTACTTTTTTGCAAGAACATGTACTTTCCAATGAAATAGCCCTTATTATTGACAAGGTACATGATTACATCTACATGTGAATAAAATTAGGGAACTCTTCCGTGCATCCACATTGAGGAATGTTTTGGTGCATCATCCACGTGCTAAAATCTCATTGGAAGTATGTTCCACATCAGCCTATCTTCTTTAAAGATAAAAAATTGCACAGTGAGCTTTACAAAATTAAAAATTACAAAATCGGAACTCCAGAATTCCTTTCATTCCCCTGTTGTCACTATTTCAGTTCCTGCCTTCTAATAGCAAAGAGGCCATATTACACATCCAATCGAAAATCTCCTACTATGCGAGTATAGTCTCCTTATGTAAGCTTCCAAAATTGTTTGAGGTCGGAACTAAGTTA